CGGCCCCCCTTCCCGCAGCCTCCATCTGCCCGGCTGTGCTGCGGCGCGGCGGCAGGAAGGAAACACTTCCAGCCCAGCGCACGCCAGCTCGCTTCTCTCCTGGTTCCCCAGCTGATGCGTGTTCACAGAGACCGACACGGAAGCTGTGCCAGGGCCTGGGGCCAGATGCATGCTCAAGGGCAGCTGCCAGCTTTGCCATCTCCCCAGAATCCTGTCCTGCTTTGTCCCACCTTCTGCTGGGATGATGCCCCGGATCACCACTGTGCATCCCTTGTGGCCATCCACCTCACCTCCTTCAAACCCGAGCCAAGACCCGTGCGCTCTGCTCCCAAAGGCACAACAGCCTGTTGGGCTTCTCCGATCCCAGGCACAAGCCTGGAACGCCCCAGCACATACCTGGATCTGCCCCTTTCCCATGATCTTGTCCACGATTTCATTGTTGTCCTTGTTGAGCTTGGTCTTGTCATAGCATTTCTCGTAGCACAAGATGCGCAGGGACTGGGAGCCCTCCAGCTCAATCTCAAACTCCTGGGGAGCAGAGGGAGGGTGGCTCAGCCCCAGAACTGCTTCAAAAACCAAGCCTGGAAGGGAGAAGGGGGCACAGTCCCTTCCCTGTGTCCTGCTGCCTCCTCTCACCTCATTCCACTGAGGCTCAGTTGTGTCCCGGAAAACCCTGGTCTTGGCTTTGCTGACGAAGTAGCCGAATGAGTCCACTTCCAGTGTGCAGTAAAGGTCTGGGAAAGAAGATACAGCTGAGTGCCTGAGTAACATGTCCCTACACAGGGAACATCAGCACTGAGCTCCTGGGTCCCGCTGGCTCCTGGGCCTTTCCCGCAGGACCGCTGAGCGGAGAGCAGGGCCCCATGTTGGGCCCGAGCTCATGCGGGTCCCTCCGAGCGCTTCAAGCCAGCCTGGACGCCCTCACTTACTGGCAGACTGCTTGAAGCCCTTGGCAGAGTGGACGATGACATGCAGGAACCCGTAGAGTCCTGGGGACTCGTCGTCTGCAACGGAGGGAACAGAAGGACGTTATTAGGTCTTCAGATTCAGTCTCCAATGCCCCCAGACCCAGGACAGACTTTCCTATAGCAAGCCCCAGCACAGACACCGAAATGTCGGGTGCCTGCAGTGACACTGCAGTGTCCCCAACCCCTGTGGAGGGCTGCCCCAAAAGGCCGGGAAAGGACAAGCATCCTCTGCTGCTGGACAGCTCAGCTGCACATCCCAGCCCCTCCTGCTGCTGGAGAGTCCTGGGAGACATTCCCAGTAGGGCTGGCTGGTCTCGCTCTGGGGACACCCTGGTCCTGCCCAGCCTGTGGAGATGCTGGAGGGATCCCAAACCAGCCGGGGAAGCAGAGACCTCCGTGCAGCTGTGATGCTCTGCGACCGTGCCTGAATCTGCTCCACCAGTGCCACCTGGTGGGTACCTCGCCCCTGCACAGCCAGGACAGCATGAGCAGAGCCCCCGCCTCCAAGCAGGGGACCTCGTGCGCCCCAGGCCCGTGCTTTGTGGGGGCACCACACTTCC